TCCAGCAATCCTTAATCTCCACAAAGAAGTTCCTGGCTTATGGATGGTTGGGGTCTTTTTCACTGGTGGCAAAACAGAGAGAATAGAACAACTGTAATTATATGACGCATGTCAGTCTTTTCCTTAGTAAATCAGAGGACCTGCTGATGGCTCCTATGTCCTTAAGATATGTAGTCTACCTATGCTGGTGTGCTGTGTGCACAGGGAACACCAGTGATGCTGTAGCAGTGTGAGGACCACAGGGTATGGGACTTTCCATACTTGCTCAAGGCTCCCTGTCAGGATCTCTTTACCCACCACACAAGGTTGCCAGGCTGGAACTTGTGTGCAGGTACCAGGCAAACATGCAGCCTCACAAACAGTCTGATGATTGGTCCCTGTGACTATTGCAGGACAAGGATGGACAGAGGGAAGGAATGATTAGTCATTTCTGTCTTAGGAGCTTCTTCATACGGGATGCATCTCTCTCTTAGGAGAGCAAAAGTCAGAAGATTGGTCCAGTATTCACCAGTCTCAAGGACTTACCTAAATCATGTTTCCTTTCTATTTATCCTTCCTGTCTTCTCTGAGTTTCGTGTACTGTATGTACAATGTGGTTTCCAATCAACATTTGGTACCTTATACAGATTTAGGAAAGCTTTGGCCAGAAAGACCAGGCCATTGTTAGATCTCAGGGAGACGGGAGACTGCAATCTGGTAATGATATCTGGACATGAGTCATTCAGCAGTTACAGTTGCCTGCAGATTGGTGGCCTGGTGCAGTTTAGTGACCATCTGTCTTCTGATGAAGGCAGGAAGTATAGGTCCCTCATTCGGCAGAAACAACCGCCCACTTGTCTTCTGCTGACTATCTTTTCTTCAACTTAGTTTCTTTGTACATAGATTGGGCTCTAGAACAGTTAAAGTGCAAGAAGGAAGCCAGGCCATGGTGGTGATTGCCTTTAATCCCAAAACTAGGGAGGCAGAGACAGGCAGATATTTGTGAGTTCAAGGACAGCCAGGTCTAAAAGAGCTAGTTCCAGGATGGCCAGGGCTGTTACACAGAGAAACCCTGTCTTGAAAAACAAAATAAAAAATAAAGTGTAAGGCAGGGTAACTAAGCACTAAAGAGGCCTCTCTGCTTCTAGAGCCAATTTCAGGGCAGCCATATTTGCTGCTTTGTGTCCTGACTCTTTGTGGATTCCCTTTTGAGGGCTTCTACACTACACAATGGCTACCTCTCTTGGCATCTTACATGGCCAGGATATTTTTGTTGTTGTTGTTGTTTTATGGATTTATTTATGCCCAGTGTGAGATGAGGAGCCCCCTCTCTCTATAGAAGGTCCATAGACATGAGCTATGGCAAGTGAATAGCAACTGTGTCTACAGGGAGGGCTTTGCCCTTCTCACAGGGAAGTGCTGGTTAAAGCCAGAAACACAGCCCTTTATGCAGTAGCCCATCCAGTGAGGGACTGAACTCACACCTTTGTGTCCAAGGTGAAATCTGTGACCCCCGCACGGCTTTTCTGACCTTGAACACAATGTCTTCCATTCAGTATCTCCTAGGTCTGGTGTTGGACTGCACTGACCACTTTCAGAACTGTAGATGCCAAGGAGCCCAGGTTGGAGGTCAGAGACCCGTCATCCTGTTGTAAACGGGATACCCTCAGCCCAGACAAGGAGGCCAGGGTGAGCACTTTAGAAACTTGAAGTGCTTATTGAGCCACACAGATTTGGGAATGTAATTCTAGAATGATCCACGAGCTGAGTGAGCAGGGACTTTTAAAGACAAAAGCCACAAATTTGGCATATTCTACTAGCCTCAAACACTTAACAAGTCCCAAAACCTAGGTGTCTCATTGTACTTCCACAGAGTTGGAACAGGCATTCTGAAGTCATGGAGCTTTGGTTATGGTTTTAGAATTTCACTGTCAATTGCATGTTTATGAATTTATTCACTGCTAAATAAAAAAAATGTATGACAGAGCTGACACCAGAAAAACCATTTTCTTCATAACCTTTTTCATGATTCACAGGTCGTTTACCCGTATCTTGTCCTTCCTTGTCACCATATGTCACTGTATTTGTCAGGGTTCTCTAGAGCAGAAAATTCTAGAATGAATCTTCTCTGACTATTGGAAGAGTATTTATTAGAATGACGTGCAGGCTGTGATCCAGCTAGTCCAACAATGGCTGCCTATGAACACAAAATCCAAGAATCCAGAAGTTGCTCAATCTATGAGACTGGATGTCTCAGATGGTCTTCTGGAGATGCTGGAATCCCAAAGTAGGCTCTAATGCAGTGGTTCTCTACCTTCCTAAGGCTGTGAGCCTTTAATACATTTTTTCATGGTGTGTTTACACCTAACCATAAAATGAATTGCATTGCTACTTTGTAACTGTATTTTGCTACTGTTATGAATATAATGTAAAATATCTGATAATCAGGATATCCGATATGCGACCCCCAAAAGAGTAGTGACCTGCTTTTGGAACACATTCAGCTACTTCAGCCAATAGCCTTTAAGATACCAGACCGCTTCGGCATGGTCTCTTATACTATAAAAATCAACCTTAAAGGTGTACCAGCTCTCTTGCTTCCAGCTCCAGCAGTTGCTAGACTCTGTTCCTGTTCACACAGAGGACTGTAGTCTAGTACAGTAATCTGTAAGTTTTCCCCTTAAATAAATAACCCATTTATTATTCACAGTTCCAAACTGGTGTGGGATTGTTTTGTGACTTGCGTCATCAGAGATCCACAGGTTGAGAAACGTTGCTCTAATGCCACTGTAGGAATGAGGAAAGCAAGCAGGCAAAGAGAAAGTCCTGCTGGGCCTGTCACTCACCTGGCCAAGAGCCCACTGCTCAGCAAGGCTGATCCACCTAAAGCCCTGCTAAAGAGGCTAAAGGAGACAGTCTTTCTCTACTGAGATAATGTGCTTTTCCTTCCCTGGAACTCCACTCTGTGGTCACCTGTGGAGCTGCACCAAGCAGTCTGTGAAGCTCGCTGTCTTTTCTGAGTGCTAAATCAGAAGATCTGAGCTTCTCCATGCTCTTATTCTCTACTTTAGGATGCTGGACAAAGCCAAACTTTTTCACTTCTTCTCTGGACCCACCTTGCTGCTTGCTGTCATGTGACTCCTTGTTGCTCCTCCTGGTTGAATGGATGTGTTTGACTTAACAGGATTTTCTCCCTCTATTCTCCATGTTTCTTTCCCCCCACAACACACCCACAGTGGCTGCCCAGATTTGTCTCCCTTGTCATTTTCCAATAATTCAAATAATATTGTATTTATGGTTTTTGTTTTGTTTTGTTTTACTTTTTTGTTTTTTTTGCATTTGTTCATTTATTTCCATTTTTAAATTTAAATACAGTTTGTTTATATTTTCAAAGATAACCTTTTATCTAACATACAATTGATAAATATATAAGATAAATATCCATACTGCTATTTTCTTTTTAAAAGTAAATTACAAACATCATGATCCTCAAGAATGAAAATACTTTGTGTTTTATTCCTGATACAAAAGCATAATTACATAGCTATTTTGTTGTTTATAGATTGAAAAACTTGCCTAAAATTTCCCAAATTATGTAATATAAAATTTTTATTTTATTTGAAACAATGTTTTAAATTTTGCTTAATAAAGTAGCATTAGAATTTGAACATAGCATTTTCTATAGAGCTATTTCTGGAATTTCCTTCAGGAATTTTTTTATCATATACTGACTTTTCTAAAGAGTATGTGCCCTAAATTTTGAGGCATCTCACTGGTACTTAAACATATATCTTTTGAGGACTACAGAAATCTGTGGTTCTTATGCTGTATTAAATAGTATATCAGTAATGTCCTTTTAGCTCATGTCTATGACATGTTTCAATTTTTTATTATTAAGGAGACTGTAATAACAAAATGATTTATTTAATAAATGAATACAAGGAGAAATCATAAAATATACTTGCTTTATGTCTCTTACTAGTTTCCTACAATCTGTGGTTACTTCTTTTTAAAGACACAAATCTAAATATTCAAAATTAACATTCATAAATAAGAAAGAGTATGAAACATTTGTCATTTTAGGTCAAGGTAATATCACTTGCTGGAGTTGGGGTCCAGCCTCCACTGCATCTCCCCTCCCCACCATCCCTTTGAACCACACTGGATCTGAAAACCCCAGGCCCCAGCCCCACAGGGAAATTCCTTAGCTGTGTACATTGAGAGCTGTGCTGTTAGAGTTTCCTTTGTTCTGGGTCATAAGAAGCATGGTCTACCGCTACTTGCTGTAACTCACCAGAATTCAAATTACCAGATCAAGAGTGGACTAGAAAGCTAAACACACACACATGCACACACACACACACACACGGACAAATGACTGACTTCCATGCTACAACCATCCCACAATGCATGCTGGTCTCCAGGCTCACTCAGTTCCTGTGACTCCTCTCAGCTCCTCTCTCCTTGGCCCTACTCTAAACTCCAGCTAATCAGATTCCCTTTCCCAGCCTCTCATTCCTATTTATCCCTGCAATTTTGGCCATGTTCTCTCCTTATCCTCCTCTCTTGGTCCTCCTCTCTCACTCTCCTCTGTTCTTTATTCTCTCAAGGCCAAGTTGAATCTGCTGGCCAAGTTTAGTCTACTCCTCTCTCTCCCCACTGTGGACTCTTCAAGATGCCTCTGGTGCTCTTCCTCATATCTACAATAAAACCTTCCCCTCAAACCTACAGGAAAATGGTCATGTCCTCACTTCATTCACTGACCAAATAAAAACTATGACTCAGGACTTGTCATTTATTCCATGTCCATTTCCTCTTTTTCAGTTATACTTAAGTATGGCATACTCCAATAGAGTTACTAACATAACAGAGGCTACAAGCATCTCCTCTTCTACAGAGAGCGAGCCGCTAGGCAAACTAACATTAATGATGATCAACTTCTCTGTGATTCCTCTGTGAATCTCCTTTCTGCTCTTTCAGTTTGATTGCATTAAATACATACCTATTTATTCCTCCTGCAGGAGCTCTGTAATGGCTTTGTCTTCAGCAAGCACACAGAAGCCTTGGCGGTCTCTGCAGCACTAATCTATGAGCCGAGTCTCAGCTACAGGAAGACAGAAGTTGAAACTAGAGAAGAAGAATTTTTGCTCTCGATCCTAGGCTGTCCCCAATAAGCCCACTTATAACTGGATCCCACTTGTCAGGTGGCTGGTTACCTTCACCCATTGGAGTAGAACAGCCACTCAGGAATCACATGAAGCTCTTTGTCTCATAGAGAAATAGAATCACAGATAGCAGAGGGATTTGAGACATGCGATGAGGCATAGGAAGAACCAGCCTGCCTCCATCTTAGGCTAAAAAGACATCTTATAGAAAAGTTTATGATTAAACCTCTGTTTTCATGGATTGGGCTATGCCCACCTGTGCCCTGAAGTACAAATGGTTCTGTACTGTCTGTTCCAGGAATGGAATTCATGTCTTAATTTCTAAACATTGTTTTTAACCATCTTGCAACCCTACCTTTGTTTTAAAAAGTTTACATGGCTGTAGTGATATTTCATTTGTATTTTAATAAATAATGCTTGTCTGAAGATCACAGAGTAAAGCAGCCACACTGTTCAGCCATACAGACAAGGCAGTGTGGGCACACACCTTCCATCCCAGTAGCTGTACTAGTCAGCCATAGAGGCCAGGCGGTGGTGGTACAAATCTTTAATCCCAGCACTAGAGAGGAATATAAACAGGAGAAGACAGGTCTCAGCTCTGTCTCATTCTCAGGATTCCCAGAAGCGGGATTGCCATTTCAGTCTGAGGTAGAGGAAAGAGCTAGTTACTGGCTGCTTTGCTTTCCATATCTTCAGGTAGAACCACAATGTCTGTCTCTCAGTTTTTATTAGTCTTGCTACATATTATTACTACCTTTTGACTCCCTGTTGCTCATGACTACCTCAATATGCCTACTTTGCAACCATGTTTTTGTTTAAGGAACCTGTCTAGCACTAATATGTAAGCTTATGTTCGGCACCTGTAACACCACCACTTTTGTCTGTCAAGTTCACCATTTGGTAACTCCCTTGATGTGGGAAACTCCCTTGTATGCTGTGATACCATTGGTTAATAAAGAAGCTGCTTTGGACCTATTGCAGCGCTGAATAGGACAAGGCAGAAATTCCAAACAGATAGAGGAGAAAGTACATGGAGACAGATGCTGCATACTGGACAGAACCTTACTGGTAAACCATAGCCACGAGGCAATACACAGATTAATAAAAATGGGTTAATTTTTTTGTTTTTGTTTTTTGAGAAAGGGTTTCTATGCAGCTTTGGAAACTGTCCTGGAACTAGCTCTTGTAAACAGGCTGGCCTTGAACTCGCAGAGATCCACCTGCCTCTGTCTCTTGAGTGCAGGGATTAAAGATGTGTGCCACCACTACCCAGCTAGAAATGGGTTCATTTAAGATATAAGAGCTAGCCAATAAGAAGCATGAGCTAATAGGCCAAGCAGTGTTGTAATAATATTTTCTGTGTGATTATTTCAGGTCTGGGCAGTCAGGAAACAAACAAGTGGCCTCCAACTACACCCCCTACCATTGAGCTTCATAAAAATCTTGTCTCCCTCACCACCTATACTTACCACTCAATCCTCACCTTAGGGGGAGACACCCCATGTACACAAATAAATAAAGCATGCTTTGATTAATTTGGTCATGAAGATTTGGGTCAGTGATCTTTCTCCTCCAATCTCTGGGATTAACTTGTACTGTTTATAAGGTAATTAAAAATGCTAATTGCAAACTAATTTCAAAATGAGTAAGTAATCATTTATTTTAGAAAGTGTCATGCTGTTTATCTGAAATAAAGTGGATTGAAAAAAAGAGGGGATGCTAAATCAACTAAGAACAGAACACTGAAAAATGCTATTTTCCTAAATGAGATAATTAATATTGCATGGCCTCTGGTGGCATCGCAGGCAAGGAATGTCAACATGGCTTGAAGAGGCAGTAGAGACCATGGCCAAAGCCATGAACATCAGCATGGCCTCCAGTTGTAGCAAAGACCACAAAAGACCACAGAGCCCCTGGTGCTAACAGGAGTCATGGTATCTACGTGGCCCCCAGCAGCATCTCAGTCTACAGACAGTAACACGGCCTCAGGGGACAGCACAGACCACTAACATCAACACAGCCATGCACAGACCAAGAACACCCATATGGTCTCCAGAAACAGCATGGTCCATGGGTATTTGTCATGGTGCAGCCTCGACAAAAATACCTCTTGCCAGTTTAGGGGCATGGGGGTTAGAAATATAAGAATATGAAGACACATGAAAAATAATAATACAGAAGCCATAGAAAAGTACCAGGAGGGTATTTCAGTGAATACTGAAATAACCCACATTTATTTTTCCATAAGTTTTTATACCCAATACAAATGGGGGTAGGGAGGGGGAGAGAGAATGTAACAAAAAACTTTGTATACTTGATAGAAAGAACAACTCAAACAGTTAATTCCTTTAACACTTTGAGACATCAAGTCATTAGCATTTTGTTGTTTAAGCAGTGAGGCTGCCTTAGACCATGAATCCTGAAGACAGCAACTGCCCAGGTGACCTCATAGTTATAAAAGAAGGAGCAGAAGAACATTTGCATATCCTGACCACCTGTATGGGACCTACTTGTATGGGCTATCATAATGTCAAAACAATTAAGTAATCACATGCTGTGTTGGGACATGTAAATATGCTTGTCAGCTACTTTGAGCAACCTACAACTCTCTAACCATCAGACAAGGTGGAAACAGGCTCACATTTTGGGGCCTCCACACAGCCTGTAGAGGTAGACAGAACAAATACAGCTGCAGCCGTAGCAGGCACCATGTACAGCAACATGGCATGTGGTGGCAGCACACACCATGGAAGTCTTTTGAGATGGCTCAAACCAGAAAATACACTACTCTCCTTGGGAATCCCGCCATTCCTCAGAGACAGGCTGGTCATGGGGGTTCATTAGAGGGCAGAGCCTGTGAGAGATCCAGGCTGCTGTTTACCATCCTGCCAGTGTTAGGTTTTTTGAGGTCCAATCAAGAAAATGAACAGGTCTCCATTACGGACATACTGATGTTGCTCAGAGCCAAGGTGATTGTACACTATCACTAACACCAGTCTGGGATATGCTCTTGTTGCCCAGAGACAAGGGGATCTTTCGGATGGGCAGGGTATCTGGGGGCAGAATCCACTGGAGCTCCAGGTCTCTGCACATCTCTGTGCCCTCAGTGAAGGCACTTTAGGTATGACCATCACACCTACAGGCTGAGGGCAGCTGCACAGCAGTGGAGATTCCAGGTTGAGAACAAAAATGAAAGAAAAACCCACCCTACGAGTCACCATTTTGAATCAATTTTAAAATATTTTTTAAAAGGTTCTGATAACAGAAGTTACAGATGTTCCAAGGCACATTTACTGGAGATAGAGCCATTCTCTCTGCCACTCTTCCCTGACTTTCTAACAGCAGGGCCTCACTCCAGCTCTGGCTTGGGTTGCAGCAGCTGTGGCACCCAGGTCTGAGGCTCCTCCTTGGTGACTGCAGACCTGTGATGCAGCCTGCTGCAGGATTCCCAGGGCAGTGGGGAGAGAGTGCAGGAGAGACTCCACTCCTGTGTCTCCCTCTAGCCCTCTGCAGGAGCCCTGGGTTTCACCCATCTTGACTCAATCCTGTCACTGTTTGTTTGTTTGTTTTGAGGGGGTATTGAGAAAGGGTTTCTGTGTGCAGCTTTGGAGCCCATCCTGGCACATGTTCTTTAGACCAGGCTGGCCTCAAACTCACAGCAATGCACCTGTGTCTGCCTCCCAAGTACTGGGATTAAAAGCATCTGCCACCACTGCCCAGTTCCTCCCTTCATTTTTAAAAGTACCTGTCATTCAAAGGAAAAGCTAATGAAAAAAATTTCATTGTCTGGCCATAAAAGTGGGGGTCACTAATACTGATGTGTTTGTAATTCATATGGCCAACCCATAGCAAAACACTTACTTAATTTAGAATCACCCATACTCTCCCAAGTACCCGTAAGTATAGTCGTTTGTGATAATTTTCACCAATGATGTCACCACAGAATACGAATTGCTTGTGATATTTATTTAAGATAAAAAAAATAATGTTGTAACTGTAGATGACATGTTACAGATCTCTCATGATGACTTTGACACATTACACGAGCTGTGAATCTACTAAAGTATAGCTTTGGGCTTGCTACAAATCCACCTCCTAGGTATGTAGTCCCTGCTACTGCTGATCCCTCTGTCACTCAGGTAGGCATGGTTTCCAACTCCTCGGATGAGAGTCCTAAAACAAAAAACAAACAAAATTTCTGCAGAGTCGGCTACTGCATTCCCCCAGCAATGATATCTCACTCATGTCCACTGCTTGTTTATAGCACAAATCACAGAAAGGCAGAGGCCATGAGGAATCACCAGCACTAGTGTAACACCCAGTGACATTTGCATTCTCAGGGTTCCACTTGGTGACCACACCATTGTCACTCTTCCATGGTGGACCCTGTACTGTGTGTACAAAGCATTTGACTGATGCTCTCTGCCATATGCACATGAGCTTCATTCAGCCATGGGTAGCATTGCAAGGGGGTTTTCAATTCTACCTTGAAGTACTTTTCACATGTATGAAAGGGGGAGAAAATGCACTTAGTAAACTCTAAAGGTCTTTAATGATAGACATTCACTGTTCAAGAGAATGGGTCTGTTCAAAATGGCTATGCTCACATCCAAACACTGTCCTGGGTAATCTTGATGATGAGACTTTAGAGAAGGTTCCCAATACACATGGAGTCTCTGCTTCAGTGACAGGAGCAGCTGTGCACACAGCTGTCTGACAAGTCCTGTCCAGCAGGTCTGCAGTGGCTTCCTGGGGATTCAGAGCCCTTAGTGGCCATCAGCAGTTCTGTCTGCATCCCACAAGGGCAGTTAGCAGCAAGGAGAGATTTCCAAGTGCTGAGAGCAGACAGCATCTTCCCCAGATACCATCATCAGGATAAAGATTTGGAGTGAAACAACACTAGGTGACCCTGACACATGTAAATTTACCAGGTTGTGGATACTGGGGACTCCATGTAACACATAGCCAGACCCAAGGCACACCTCCAGCCCAAGGGTTTCTCCCTTTCCAGTTCAGTTCTCTTCACAAGACTCAGCCTTTCACCTTCACAACCACAACTCACACAATCACAGCACATGAACACAGTAGGAGGAAAAACATTCTGAAAACATACAAGTTGTTATATTCAGTGTTGTCTGTCCACAGCCAAGGATGCTCTGATGACTCTCTGTGCAGGCCAATCCAGGCAGCAGAATGCCCATTTGTTCTATTCAGGAAATCCTGTCAAAAACACAGAAAGCAAAGACATGTGTCTCTCAGTTTCAGATGAGCCTTGAGTCTCTGTCCTACAGTGTCCTCTCCGGATGGCAGCAGGTTTGAACTGAGGGCCAGGAACTTTAGAGCCTAAATCACCCTCAGTTCTCAGTGAATGCATTTTCCTGTCATAAACCATAGTAAACTGACAGTTACCCATTTCTCTGGGGCTGTAAAAGTCCCTTGTTAAGTCTGTAATTACAGTTATTAACAGTTGTCACCTTAAGTTTGCAACACCTGCCAGCTCAAACAAAGACTTGTATGACCACCATGATTCTCAAATGTATGTTAGGCCTTGCACGTTGACTATTAGTACTATAGGAGAGAATATCTTTGGAATGTCTCAGTGCTACAGTCAGATGTGTTACCATCACAAATGGCACATGCTAACATGTACCCCATGTGCCCAATGCCTAGGGTGGGAACCTTCCTCATGTTCCAGCTTTAAGCTCTCTCTCTCAAGGCAATACATATTCCACAGGAACAAACAACAAACCAACTCTCAATCCTTTCTTACCAGCTCCTCCAGACTGTCAACTTGAGTTAGATGAGCCTTCAGCACCATGCAGGAGGTCTGGCTAGATATCCAGGTACTTGTGTTTTCAGACAAATAAAAACATTTACTTCCAAATGCAATCCAGTCTCTTGGGCAGGTATCATTCCCAGCTTCAGGGCTCACAATGGCTGGGATTTTTTCTCTCACTAAAATATACACAATGCAAATACATATCATGAATAAACATTTCTGTGTCTCATCTCTTTGGCTAAGCATTCACTCTCCACTGTGAGGTGTGTGTTTGACTGTAGCTTTCATTACTGATCACTAAGAGACTCCTCCTAGCATGGTGGTTTCCCATCAAGAACCTTCATGTAGGACTCTAAGGATATGCTTGTCTGTTTTTGTATTTTGAGTTTGCAGTCAGAATCTCTCTATGTCCCCCTTCCTTGCCTGGATCTCACTCTGTGAACTATACTTATCTGAATGCATTTTATAGCCCTATTCATTGCTTATGGGCCCTTGCTGCATCCTGTCCTTCCTTGTCACCTTACATCACTCTTCCTTGTTCTCCTGTCTACATAGTACAACATGCTCACACTCAGAGCTGATCATTCTGTACATTATAGGCTGGGACATGCATATGAGGGAGTGCATGGGGGTCTCTTTCTTTCAGAATTCCTGGCTGTGCCTCCTGAGTGCAGGGACTAAATACACCATACCCTGAACAAATCATAGTCATTATCCTGCTAAGACTCCTCCTGATGGCTGGAATTCTACACGTTCCTTTCCTATGATCCTGCATCACATCCTGCTTTTGTAATGACCAAATAGAGAAAATGCCTCGCTTCTCTGGATTTGAATATGGCAC